CTGCACCCGACTGCCTAATGATGGCCTCAAACCGGCTGAGTGACCCCGGCCCAGCGGTGGCTGATCTATGCAACCCATTCTGGCTGCGGCACTGAGTAATTGTGTCACCGTCTCAGGATGTCAGTTGTGTAACTGGCTGCCCGCACCCGGCCGGCTGCTCGGCCACTGGGAGAGTCGACTCAGCCTCCCACCGCGGCCTCCCGTCAGCTCCCGAGCCAGCAGACATTCCTGGGCGAGCCTGCACGCCGTCGACCGAATATGGCCCGTCCTGCCGCGCCCCCAGCAATGCCCAGAGCTGGATTCCTTTCGCAAGCGATCAGATTATGGCTCGTTACTTATGCCGGCGGTTCATGTAAAGAAGATATCATTGGGTTTCTCATGAACTGAAATAAAACTCCGCTTCGGTGAATTATGGTCATGTTTTATTCTTCGGGTGACAGTTGTGTTGATTGGTTAGCTCCTTTCAGCCCATTCTCTTCGCGTTACCTGTCAGGCTGGAGCTGACACATAGGGGAAGTTGGGGCAATGCCGGAGTTGGGGCAAAGCCGAAATTCGAGATATTTCGAAAACCGTACGACATGGGTGCCACCTGTCAGTGATGCTCTGAAACTTAAGTGACTACAATTATCGCATGTTTGTTACGAGTCGTCATTCGGAACACTTCGGCCGTGAGGGCGCCAAGAGCGTTTTCAAGGTACGTTTCCCTTGTACTACATGCGCCTTTGAAGCTGCATTTCTTACTCATTATGCTACCGTTTGTCTGGCCAATTCGGTCAAGTAATATTCAGCATCTCTTTGCATAAGTGTGCTGCCTATTTGAAATTTATACAGCACGTTTAAAAGTTATGGGCCTGCAAATGATAGTATGGCTGGCTGGGGTAATGCCGAAAACGTGCAATTACGCACGTTAAAGCACGCTACGTGGACTTTACTGCTGTAGAATAGCAACGCGTATTTTTAGTCACAAATTACACTTTCAACCCACACAACGGCCTGTTACCTATAAGGAATGATTTACCCGGCATTTTCTTATTAGTTATATCACACAATCATAACTTCCAGTGTGCACCAAGCGTCCTCAAGCTCTTAAAACGCGTGTCAGCTTTGATGAATTTTGGATAAAGTTTGAGATAAAATGGCAAAACATCAATGTCGGCATTCCCCGTAGATCATTTCTCTCATTTTCGGCTTTCCCCGCAGTCCGGGGCAACGCCGAAAAAGTCACTTCTTTGATATTTTTAGTTTGTGCGCTTAACGGTATGCGATTTCATCAAATGCGCCTGGTATGTTTGAAAGGCAAAAGACTGGCCTCTCGAATGACGCCAAGAAGAATAGCTTATGTTGTCTACCTTGCGTGCTACGGGCGTCAGAAAAAAAGTATTCGGCATTCCCCCAACTTCCCCTACATGTTGCAATGGTACTCTCCTGTCCTAGCTGAGGCTTATGTGTTTCTCTCCTGTCCAGCGAAGCTGATGCATGCGCCTCCTGCCCGGCCTAGCGTGGACGATGTCATGAATTGTTGATTGTTCCGCGTCCCGGCCAGGCCCGTTCATTGGGACGGACGCAGGAGACGCTTACCATCGAATCCGCCGGGCTTATAAGATCCCCTGTTCGCTCACTGAGCCTGATGCCCCGTCCGGCTTTCAGTAGGGCTGGCGTATCCTCTTTCCATGGGGATGGTGCTTGCCCAGTGCATAAGACTGGTGCACCCTGTCCTACTCGGTGGGTTTGATATTTCTCTATATCGTGCCCAGTAGGACCTGTGTCCGTTGTTCCCCGCCCGGCGCAGTCCGCTCCGTCAGAAGCTGCGGCGCCGACCGGCTGCGTCGCCGGTCGCCCATACAAGGCTCGGTGGGCTGTGGGCCCGGCCCGGCCTGGCGGTGACACCCGGCGACCTTGGCGGCACTGGGCCGGCCTGCGCGGCACGACCCGAACCAGCCGCGGCGCCCCGTGCCGGCGGCAACGTGCACAGGGCGCCGCGCCGACCCGGCTGGGCGGGCCGGCCGCCGATCCTGCCTCCACGGCCCGCAGCGCCAATTTTCCCGGTCAGTTCACAGCTGTCCCGCCTGCACGCGTAAAGGAGGCCCGCATGGACCACCGATGTTCGGCAGTCAGTTCGGTTGTCTCAACCTGCGGGAGGTTGAGTTATGATTGCAGAGGCTCGTGTGTGAGGTCCAGCAATTCAGAGGTTTATGCGAGGTTAGCATTGTGTGGGCCCAGCTGTGCACAGGGTTGCGTGAGGTCCGGCTGATCAGATGGGTGCCCCTCCAGCGCTGTGAGGCCCCGACTGTTCAGGAGTTCGTGTGAGGTCCGGTTGATCAGGCGAGTGCCCACCAGCCCTCTGCGTGTGCTCGCCGTTCCAGCTGCCCGCTGCGTGTGAGACTTGGTTGGACAGGGACTGTTAGATCCGGTTGATCAGGTGTGCGCCCGCCTCCTCTCTGCGTCCGCCGGCCGTTCCAGCGGCTCACGGTCACCTGCCGAGCTGCAGTTCCTGCTGGCAAACCGGTTATCGGGGGCTGGGCGGCGGCCCGGGGCTGCAGCGCCGCTCTGCCCGTGACTGGAGCCGCCCGGGGCTCGGGGAGGACGCACTGGACCCACTGCACGGACCCCCGTCACCCACAGGGCTGTCCGACCCCGTGTGATATTGCAGCACCTGACGCCTTAAATCACACACTAACACTCGCTGACCCTGCAGGGAGCGGGGTCGTGCTGAATAGGGCCTAGGGCTGGGGCTCTGGCTGTGCTCTGGCCGCAGCCGTAGTGAAAGTGCAGTCAGTGTGTGCGGCCGAAATAAATCCTACGAGCTTGGTGCCAGACTCTGGCGCCGTTCGTGATTACATCTGTACTACATATGTATATTGCGACCTTGAGTTTGAGAACACGTCGATAGCTATCGTGGCGAGGCCGTCCGGGCGGGAAGGCTGCGCGCCATTTTTGCGCTGGTTATTTCAGTCATGTTCTTGTGATCGGTGAGCGCGGCCAACCGTAAACGGAAGGGTCTGCACATTGCATGCTTATTACTCGCTGTGACGGAAAGGCGCGGGTCGACCAGGGAAAATAGACCCATTGAATGATGGCAGGTGTCGCTGCTAACCTAGTTGTTACGTTGGCATGACAGCTAGTGATTCTCGCCGTGAACACCTAGAATTATTCGAATTACATCCATGGTACGTGCTTAGTGCCGAGTTAGACGGCGCTCCGTGGACGGCGTGCTAAAATGGCCATCTTTTATAACGGCATATCCGCTGTAGTGTCCGGGATGGGGATGACCGACGGCTATTTAAGACTCTGACGTTAACCGGGTACGTCCCATGTCATCCCTCCCCTGTCTCCCTCCCTCTGCAGTTAGTCCTGCTGATTACGGTAGACTGACCGCCTGCACTCTGCAGTTCTCAATGAATTGGCCTGCTGCAGCACAGGCGTATTTTTCGCATAACTGGCGGTTGCAGTAACTCTTTCACCAATCGGACGTTCCTGTCCCAATTAGAATGGTGCGGCTGTGGATTTCATCAATGAACCTGGCTGGCTGGTCGGGTTACGTCAGGCACGCTGGGCCTGTTTTGTATTCGGGACCGCACCCTCGTTGTGTCCGTCCGCAGTGGACCGAGATCAGCTGTCTCGGCGCAGCTCCTGTCGAACGCAGCTGTCTCCTTGGGCCGGCGAGGACAGCCGATCAGACCAGCTGGGTCATCACGTATCGAATCAGCCTCTGTCCTCGGCAGTCAGCAGGTCCAATCATCGACATGCCATCCCTGCCGGCGTCGCTGTCCGACCCAGCCCTCCTCAGCCGCCGACAGGCATACATCATCAGGTTTACATCAGGTTTACCCATTCAGCCAACTATGCGGCGATGTCGACAGCGGACGCTGCGCCAAACAAGGCGGTCGCAAGGACAGGGTCCGGTTGGCCGGCCGGGCGCTGCGCTGAATAAAACATGAGCCGGCCGGCCGGGGCCGCTCGCTCGGCCGGCCGGCTGCCGCTGTTGCACAATGACCCGGGTCACGTCCATAGCCGCCGGCTAGCGTGGGAGAGTGGCCACAGAGCGGCGAGATACGATCGGGGCGAGTGCCGCGGCCGCCGCAAGGTCGACCGGCGGCACTCGGCGGCGCGACCGGCGCCTGACGGCACAGGCCGGAGCAAGGGCGATACGGATAACGATCTTCCACCCACTCTCGAGGAAGGTGGGATGGGGACTCCGAGTTCAACTGACACCCTAGCTCGTACTGGCACTTAGAGGTCCTTCTGACACTCTCAAGGTCCGACCGGCACTCACGAGGCCCGGCGTTCCCTCACGAGGTCCGACCGACCTCAGTTTTCCGGGTCGGCGGCGGTCAGTGCGTGGTTGTTCTCGGCCGGGCCGGCTGTTTGCACTAGAGTGGACCGTGAGAGGTGGCCCACGTGACGGCTGACTTTCCGGCGACCTTCTGTCGACTGCACGACCCGGCCCCGCCCTGCACTACCTGATCCCGGTTCTACGCCGACCGATCCCCGCGCCGCCAGCAGCGCTGTCAGGGAGCCGGGGCCGCCCAGTGTGACGGGCCGGCCTGTCGGCTCCCATTAGTCGCTGCAGCTCGGCCCAGTTTCTCAGGAAAGCCGACGTCTGACCGCCGGTGAGCGGCTCGGTCTGCAGCCGCCGCCCTGTCGGCCCCCGATCTCGGCTCCGCGGCGGCGGTCGCGGCGCCGCCGCGCCGGTTCTGACGCGCCGCGCGGACGGCTGATCCGGCGCGATCATGTTCTGCTGGGTGGCGCGGTACCGCTGGAATGTCGCCCCTGTCGGTCGTTATACCAAGCCGACGTGCACCCTGAACAGCTGGGTGACGCAGAACGGACTGGGATGTCCCATGACCGCAACTTGTCGGTCATCAGGTCCTTCTTTGCGTATGTACAGCGTACCGGTATGTCCACCAGTGTTCTGACACTGCTAACCTGTGGCCTGTCCCTGACTTTAACTGACCTCTGTGTAACCTCCACTGACCCATGACCCCTCTCTGCTCTGACAGGAGGTGCAGCGCGCCATCCGGGACGGTGTGGACGCCCGCCGGCTAGTCCAGCGTCAGGTGAGCGCCGGCTCCGGCGGCGGCGGCGCCGTCGTGGATCCGCGCGCGCCGCAGCGCCGCCTTCTCCACCAGCACGGCCGCAGCTGGCGCACCGTCGACACCGACGACCTGCGCGAGACGAGCCGTCGGGACCGGCACGGCGAGCTGCGCACCGAGTCGGCGCATACCCACCAGCACGAGGAGTACCACGACGCCCAGGTGCGGCCACTAGAGGGAGTGCTGGCAGGGAGGGGGACGGGTGATGTGTAGGGATCAGTGTCGCCCCGTCCTCGTGATCTGGATTAATGTTCATCGATGTCCACTCCCTTGCCGGTACGCTATTGAAGTCACTGGGATGTACTGCGTCGATAAGTGCTGAGAATCGATCAGGGTCAAAGACTTGCTGAGAAGAGTTCCCATGCCTTGGATGTCGTGAATGTCATGGTTCCTGGTAAGATTGATATCTACTTACATTTGAGCTGGAGTGAGTGCGCCGCTCATCCCGTAGACTCGCCGGCAGCCGTAAAGCACATTTCATGACCTTTTACGAAGTTACCTTTCATGCTAACGTAATGGGGTATTTGTTGAAGGCTCATGGCTCTACGGCCATCCGTATTTTACTGGCTGGTGGGGCGGCCAGATAATGTTTCCCGATTGTGCCGCTGGCGGTTACAGAGCGTACTCCACCCTGCCGCCGCACGGCGCGCCCTCCGGAGAGAGGAGGGCTGGGGAGAGAGGAGGGGTGACCTCTGGGAACAACTGCGTCTTCCATGGGCGCCGGCCGGCCCACGCGGTATCCTTGCAGTGGCCGTGCCGGTGCGATCAGCGATCCGAATATGGTGGTGGTTGATCTTGGAGGGGGGAAGGGGGGGGGGCTGTCACGGCTTCCGGTGACAGCCCCCCTCCCTCGCTCCCCCCCCCCCCCCCCCCGCTATCATATAAGCTACTGCCCCCTCCCCCTCCCGACGGGTACTCGGATGTCAGTACAATCCTTGCAGATATTTTATCGTGAGCCAGATCTGGTGAGACGGTGAACGAAGACATGCATTTCGAAACGGCAGGCACCGATCGGCTAGAGAAAGAACATGACCGGAACCATGTTACTACAGAGGCTCACCTTCTGACATGATCTGCTCAGATAACTGCAAATATATCGAACGGTATCTGATCGTTCCCATTCCCAGTTGGTCTCATTCAAAAGTCCTGATGGAAGCTATCTATGAATGTTAAACTACGCGACTGCCATGCAGTCTGCGACAAAGCACGCTGTCGCTGACAGTGAAATGTGGCCCTGCTGAGTGCTGAGCGCTGCTGTTTCGGATTCCTCTTGCTCGTACGGAGGACGGGCCTCCCGTCCACCCGACGTCGTCCTCCGTAAAAGGAGCGGCTGAGTGACAGCTGCCGCTGGTCCGCGATATATCGGCCAGTCATGCAGACTGAACAGCGCACATACGCTGCCGGCCGGCGCGTGCTGCGGGGTACCGCTCCGCCCCGGCCACTCACCACCGCCGGGCCGATCCAGCCAGACTGTGTGTCAGGACGTGACGCCGCCGACCGATACCCGCCGCCGTATACGGAGCGCCGGCGCGACCGGCGTCGCCCTCACCGCCAGATTAGGAGGCGGCCGCGCCACGCCACGCCACATCTGATACGGCCACGCCAAACACAAAGAATGTATGGGAGCGTGGCGCGGCCGACGCGTGATCAGCCTCGGAGTGGCGGACGGCGGGACTTTCGGGCGGCGGACTCCCCTGGACACCAGCAGTCAGCAAAAGGTCATATAGAGCACGATATCATTTCCAATGGATTAGAACTCACATCCGGAAATTGTCTCGCGAGATATGTCCTCTCACAGTGACACTCCAAGCCCTACCTCAGCTCTGGTGTGTCCGTCGCTTCTTAGAAATAGGGTGAAGTCGTATAAGAGTACGCACTTAGTGGATTTTTTGCTCTCATTTCTTAAATATTTGAAAGAAAGAAATCGCAAACATGGAATATTAAAGTTCATTGAATTTGCCATCAACCCATGAGGCAACGATCCTTCAGCGTAAATGGAAGTGGTCTTAAACTGACGTTTTCTGAACCGCTGCTGTTGCGTACTCTTACCACATGGGGTGGATAAGAGTACGCACACCATGCGGGTGGAGTACGCAAGCATATAAACACACACCTATAGGCAGCTTTTACTGTCCAAATGCTTAACATCAAACTCAGAAGACATTTAATTTAATTCTAGTATCCAAAAAGAAAAAAACATAAAATAAATCTTGCATATCTATAAATCAAGAAATAATCAAGTCATGTGACTAAAAATGTACAAACAAAAGGGAGAATAAATCGTATTTAGAAGAATTTCGGGTACGCATCTGCCTCACAGTGCTCCATTGATGATGTACCTACAAAACAAACGTCATTGAGCGATATATCAATAATTTGATATTTTTGTATATTCGATATAATGTATAATTCTGCGTACTCTTACCCTCATGAACAGTGCGTACTCTTACCCTACATGCAATTCGCGCACAAAACATCCCCGAAACATTGTGTTAAACTTCACAAACAGAAAATTGCACTGCACAGTATTTCACCAGAAAACCTCGCAAGTTTCCCACAACAATCACGAAAATGTACCTTATCTCAACTGCCAAGTATCAAAATTATTGTACCATACTGTTCGAGTCTTGGAGGTTGACAGGGTGTATTAACACAGACACTGGGTTACGGCAACGTCACATTCCACTCGGTGAGCACTCGACGGCCGCTGGCCGGAGACTGCCCGCCCGGCCCTGCCCGGACCGGGGCGGGCGGGGCGGCCGCTCACGCCCTATTGGCTGCGCCGGCTGCAACGGGCAGCAGCCGGCACAACCCGCACATGCCCCCCAGTCGCGCAATATTCGGAGTAAGTTGCGCGACACTAACGTCTATATTACATGGCCTCAATGAGGCGCTGCGGGCGGCGTCGGCGCCGTCGCGATCGGCGAAGCGCCGGCTGCGGCGCCGCGGGTTCGGCGGGCTCGGCTGGTGCGATTGGTGGCCGCACAGCTGACGTCGTCTGCTGCGGTGTGGCAGCACCAGCTGGAGCGGTGGCTGGTGTCCCGCTCGGCGTTGTCGTGGTCGCCAGGCCCGTGGAGCCCGGCTGACCGGTGCTGTGTCCAGACAGCTCGTCGGGGAGGACGCAGCCGTACCGCCGGCGGATGTGGCGTCGGTTCCGGCTGAGGACCCGACCGCTCGGCATCCTGATGAAGTAGCGGCGGTGCCCTCCAACCTCGACCACCTGGCCGTAGCGATCCCAGCGGCCGGTCTCCCGGTTCTGGACCGCGACGTGGGCTCCGACCTTCAGCTCGGGCAAATCGGTTGCACGAGCATCATAGCGTTGCTCGACCCGCTCCTGACGGCGGGCAGCAGCGGCTTCTGCATGGTCAGCTGAGATCTGCCATTCGGCCGCGAAGTTGCGGCGGTGAGCCGGCAGCATGTCCCGTACTGGGCGTCCGTACAGAATCTCAGCCGGGCTCCGGCCGTCGGGTCCCGGGGTGTTGTGACAAACACGTACTGGCGGCTTCATGTCACTTCATGAACTCGACAAACCCGCGTTGCTAGGCAACCGAAACAGCTGATGCGTACTCTTATCGCCCGCGTCCTCTTACCCGCCCTTACCCTACATATGTTCGACTAATAGCGCCACTGTATGGCCCGTGTGATTGATATCCCCACCCAGCCCTCGCCGTCCACTGTGATAACCTCTCCGTCTCTCTCCGCTGTGCAGGTGCCTGAGGACGGTCCTGACGAGGAAGCGCGCGAACAGGTGCGCTCGTCCAGCCACAGCCGACGCCACACCAAGGACGTGGACATGCTGGAGCACTTCTCGGTGCCGAGGGGAGGCCGACTGGCGGACGGCATCAAACTGGGAGACGGACTGCGGTGAGTGACTAACGTCTCAGGGTGACAAAGGTTGGGAGGGGGTTACCTAGAGGTTAATTAATCGTGAGAGAGGTGAGATAGATACCTGGGTGTGAATTCTGAGAGGCAAGAGAGGTTCACTAAATGACGGTGACAGTGTCAGCGGTATGACGGAATCCATCAGGAGCGAGGTAGGGAACAAACGGTCACGTTTTCCTGGTGAAAGGTGCTACAGTGCGTGTAGTAGCTGGGCTGCACGTATGTCATCCGTTTTTCCTACATTTTCTCAGGGAGAACTTACATTCCTACATACCATTTATACGGCGTTTGGTCATAGTTGTCTGGGGCTCAGCGCTCGACTGCAGCATATGTATGTTGTCCCGCATGTTCTTGCTATGTCTGACCGTCCGTTGGCCTCCCTCTCCCTCACAGGTATGTGAAGGAGAATGTCGAGGAGCAGCGGCAGGGCGACCCGGAGACGGGCGGTGTGTCGGAGCGGCTCCGGGAGCTCCACCGGCCGGCACTGCAGCACTCCAGCACTTCGATCGAGTACCGCCCCGGCGAGCATAGGGCCAGGGGCGGCCCCAGCAGCAGCTGGCTCAACGGCCACCTCAGCGCCGAGTCGCCGCCGTCGCCGCGGAGTCCAGAGGAGGGCGGCCGCCGGCAGACCGGCTCCAGCCACCCGGAGACCTGGCGACGCACCGAGAGCTACACCCGAGAGGTGCGCGAGACGCCCGAGCGCACCTACATCAAGGAGACGCGCGAGTCGCCGCGCGGCGGCTACGAGCGCGTGCAGCTGGTGCCGGCCGGCGCGCCGCGACCGCCCGTCAGCTCGGCCATCTCCGACCTGGTCTCTGAGGTGGACGAGGACCCCATCTTCGCCAGCAAGTTCAGCTTGGGCAAGTCGCGCGGCGGCGGCGCCACCCTGGCGTTCACTAGCGTGCCGCGCGAGGTGGAGCGGCCGCCGTCTCCGCCCGCGCCCACGGCGCCGCCGCGGACCAAGAGGAAGAACCGGCAGAAACAGCAGGCGCCGCCGCCGCCAGAGCCGCCGCGGGAGGTCACCCACACGCCACCTCAGAGGCGCCGGACGCCACCACAGGAGGCGCGCTACTCTCCACCCCAAGTGCGCCGCATTCCCTCCCAGGAGGCGCGCTACTCCCCGCCCCAGATGCGCCGCATTCCCTCCCAGGAGGCGCGCTACTCCCCGCCCCAGATGCGCCGGTCCTCGCCGCAGGAAACGCGCCACTCTCCGCCGCCGGTGCGACGCTCTCCGCCGCAGGAAACCCGCTACTCTCCGCCGCAGGAGACGCGCTACACACCTCCCCGTCGGTCGTCAGCCGGTGAGCGCGACAGTACTCCGGTGCGCGTGCAGACCACTCAGCAGGAGGACGGCCGGATCGTGAAGGAGTACCACTTCTGCAGCAGTCCGCGGCCGCAGCGGCCGGTGCGGCGCGGCTCGCCGGTCGCCCGCGACTCGCCGTCGGCTGTCTGGGAGCGCAGTCGCAGCTCGGACGAACCGGACGGACCGGCGGCGGCGCGGCTCGACGGACTGGCCGGCCGGCGGCACCAGAGCACCGAGCAACTCGACTGGCGCGCCGCCGAGCCGCCGTTCAGCACACAGACGGTGGACCGGCGGCGGCCGGCGCGGCCGCACCAGGAGCCCGTCCTCCAGACACAGACGCTCCCCAGGAAACCGCGTGAGTCGCGCGACCCGCCGTCGGCCAGTCGGCTCGGCGCCTCCTCCAAATTCGGCGGCAGCATGATCAACGTCTCCGTCCGGAACAACGTGTTTGGTAGCTCACCGGTGACGCGTCAGCCGCCGCGCCGCACTAACAGTCTGTATGAGAAGGAGGAGGGGCCGGCCGGCGGCGGCCTCAAGAGCCCCGACATCATCTCGGCCATTCAGAGGACGAGCGGTACGCGGCGCGAGGAAGACGACGATCTCCAGCGTCGGAGCGTCGAGAAGGAGCCCGAGTGGCGGCCGACCGTGTCGGCGCACCCGCCGCCGCCGCCGCCGCCGCCCCCGCCCGCCAAGGTTCCCAAGGTGGCACCCAAAGTTGCGCCCAAGGTGGCGCCCAAGCCGCGACCAGCGACCAAGGAGAACTTTATGCGCGGTCTGATGCAGAACGCTCCCGAACTGTACTCGGCACTGCACGGCGACGAGCGGAAGGACTCCAAGACGCCGTCTCCGAAGCAGAGTCCGCCTCCAGCGCTGTATCGCGCCCGCTCGCCGGCGCCGCTTACCCTCGACTACGGGGCCATCTACCCGAAAACGCCGCCCGTGTTCAAGCGACTGGAGCGGCTGCGGGCCGACGAGGAGGTGGTGACCAAAGAGGGCCGCTCGCGCTCCACCACGCCCGCCGAGGACGTGCACAACTTCCGACTGGGCACCATGTCCCCGACCGGGGAGCGCACAGATCTGATCAAGGTGGGTGTCTAATGTCTATGTGGCAGGCCGGGGAGTGGTAGGGACTCTCCGCATTCCACTCAGCTGATCGAGCTCTTGGGGACTAGAGAGGGATCCGGGTTGAGACTGCGTGCAGCAGGAGATTATGCCCTAGTGCTGCCTGGGCCGAGCCCAGGTGTAATGTGGTAAACAGCGCAGTATTCGCAGAAGGCAGCTTTGTGCACGTGGCCAGAGCTTTCCACGAAGTGCCATTTTATCGGCGAGCTTCCGGCTCAGCAGCGTTCCGCTTCAATGCTGCATTTTGCAGTTAACCCGGCAGTTGCTGGGGTGTTTCGCCACCCACCGTTTGCTGGGGGGGGGGGGGGGGCGTTAAACGCCCCCAGCCGATAACTCGAGAACCAATAGGCGCAGCGAAACGCACGAGGCGGCAAACGAAAGAACGCGACGAGACACTTCAGATGAGTACTTTAAAGTTGAATTTTGAGGTCACAGGTCGGGTCAAGGTCAGGTCAAACACCTGAAATCGGGCTTTCAGTAGCATGGACTTCAGGACTTCGCAATGGGCGCCTCTCGTCATAAACTCTGTCAAAACGGTGCACAATCCATCATATAAGGCCTACAAGAGTGTCAGCTCCATGTAGGGGTCAGTCAAGCATAGGTCAGGGTCAAGGTCAGGTCAACCGGGTAGGCAAATATCCCCGAAAATCAAAACTGATATTCGCAGCCTGTGACACATGTTTTATGGGTAATTTGGGGCGTAGAACACGATGGTGACATTCATTTTATCATATGTGTACGTGTTTGGCTCAAAAAGTTCAATTTAAGAAATGCATGTATCATGGTCGTAAAGAAGTCACGAGAAATTGCCAAGATTCAGTTCAAGATTTTGGAAAATGCCGAACGATAATCAATAATCGAAGATAGCCATTTGATTGTTCATGGTATTGGCAGTCTAATGGCGTTTACGGCATGTCTGTATGTCTATTCTGTGGTTTTATATGATTTTTTGAACATATGCCGTTTTTGGTCGAAAACTCAGAAATCATGACGTCACTAAAACCCTGATATCTCAAAAATTTTCCGACCGATTTTTTTGAAACTTTGTCACAATACACTTCATTCAGTTCCCTACAGGTACCCAAAATTTGGCGCGCCTGCGGCGCGCCGTTTTTATGCTATGGCCCGGCGAAAAAAGTGGGGGCGTTTAACGCCCCCCCTAGCAACTCGCGGGTTAAGGTGCAGCCAGGTGGGGTCACTCTAGCTTTGCTTTATAGCGCATTTCCTCTCAGATAACTGACAAATCGTTCTATGATGTTTCCGACCCCATCTCTCTGTCAGAACCCTGCTGACGGATGGCTGTGTTTGCCAGGTACAACGGTGAGCTGCCGAGTTCCGAGTGAGCTCACAGCCCGCTGACTGTCGCCACAGCCGCCAGTACCCACCAGCCGCCACCCCGGGTCGGCCCTGCCGACCTGACGGCGCCCTGCTGCCTCAGCGTGCGGAGAGACACGGCGGAGACACAGGCTGCTCTGCCTCAGCGCCCAGGAGACACGGGCTGTTCTGCCTCAGAGCTGAGAGACCACTCTGTCACCAGTGGCGAGAGAGAATGTCCGCCCGTCGCCCAGTGCCGGTAGAGCAGCAGTGTGTCATGTTCAAGTGTCGTGAGAAGGACGTCCGTGCCGGCCGTTCGCCCCCGTGGATTCACTGAACCGGGAGCGTCTTAGAAAAGTGGCCGGCTCGAGCTCGCTAGGCGCCATCGAACGTTCGGCGAGTTGTTTAGGTCGAACGACCCCTGACGCGAATACCGATCGAACTGGTGAATGTTTATCGATGTAGGCACCTAACGCTTACTAGCGTGCACAGTGCGCCGCAGAGATGTTATGCCATGATAAGTGTGTGCCGTGAATTAAACCATGGTGCTGTGTTGTGCCAATGCCTGCGTGACAAACCTAATATTAGGAGTGGCTTATTTAACTAATAATTGCCTTTTATCATCTCTAATCGTTCTCCATATCTGTAAATAGTTCGAGAAGTAGCGTTCATTCTATGAGTGTATGAGCGAGTGTCTTCGTAAAGCACAGAGCGAGTGGAGGTTGATTGAATCCATAGACGGCTGGACGGCCAGCCCGGCCGACGGCTCTGCGCATGTAAGAGAGAAAGAGAGAGAGAGAGAGAGAGAGAGAGAGAGAGAGAGAGAGAGAAAGAGAGAGAGAGAGAGAGAGAGAGAGAGACGTGTCTCTATGCATAAGCCAGTCAATAAACTGAAGACGCAGCTTTTTGTTTTGCCCTGTTGGAGATCGGTTTGAAATGCTAGCGTCAGGTTTCCACTTTGATCGTGTGAAGTCCATCTTCTGGTCTAACTTCATATTATTCATATCATTCATTCATGTCATATAGACATATTCTCCGAACTCCCGCAATTCCCGAGTAGAAATACGCCATCCTAATCATCGTCCGACCGCCTCTGTCTGAGAGCCATAGCGAACGAATACAGTAAAACTTCAAAACCAGGGGAAGCATTGACACCAATGGAGACATTACCGACTGTATTGGTACTCCGTTCTACACGCCGTCCATCAGGTCAGCTCAGGTCAGGTCAGGTCACCAGGTCAGATGGAGGAATCGCTCCCCCTGCCGCTCACACGAGTGACCGGATCACTCTTCTCTCACAGCCGCCCTCCAGCGGCGGCCCGAGCCGGCCGGCCGGGCCGCCGCTCAGTTCCCGCACATTCCCCGGCGCAGCGGAGACGTCCCCACTGTCGGACAGTCGACCCGGGCCATCCGCCCCGGCCGTCTCCCCCCCCCCCCCGACCTAACGGACGCTGCCGGCGCGCGGCGCGTCTCTACACGACATGCAGTATAGCGCGGCGCACACAAGACAGTCCAGGTGAAACACAAGCAATAGCAAAGCGAGTCGCGCTCGCGCGATGGGCGCCAGCGCCGCGCAAAAGCCACAGCAAGCGCGAGTGGGGAGAGGTGCGCGCAGTGTGAGCACCGAGTCCCTGCAGAGAGTTGGCTGCTGCCGCCGGAGCCGGCCGCGTGCGGCGCCGCGGCGGCAGCCTACATGATTGTTAGCGTTCCGTGCCGGGGCACACACGACACTCCGGTCGGCATTCACACCAGCTCAGAACACCAGTCGCACCAGATCAGAGCACCAGTCGCACCATATTCACGTCAGAACGAAGCACCACCGTCCACTTCAGGGCAGACCACTGCCCACACCACCGTCCGTGCCAGGGTCGAGCGCCGGGTATGACTGTGTCGATAGCGCGTTATATTTACGTCAGTCGCAGCCCTGGATGTTACCACGCCCGATATTTCTGTGCCGCGTTCACTCGCTGGTGGACTGGGCTCGGTCGTTTCTCACTCAGCTGCCTTCTCAGTCCCTGCAGTTCCGTCCCGCGGTCCTCCTGCCCGCGATATCCGCTGTAAGAGACGACCGGGCCGTACTATCCGCTGTAGCAGCGGACGAGTCAACTATATCCACTGTGACAGCAGATAAGGGGGCTTGGTATTCACTGTGGCAGCGTGGTATCCGCTGTAAAAGCAGAAGGGCCCGCAGCGGCCACTGTAGAAGTAAAAATGGGCCGCAGTATCCGCTTTACGAGCAGACGGGCCCACGAATCCACTGCTAAAGCAGACGGCCCTGGTATCCGCTGCAATAGCAGACGGGCCCCGACATTCTCCGCAGATCAGTCCGGCAGTGCCCGTCCCGCCGACAGACCAGCCCGGCGGCGCTGTCTGCCGCAGCGACTCAGTCTCGCAGCTCCACAGACCGGTGACTCGCTCTCAGCTGGGTCGACAGGCGGTCTGCTCGCCTACGACATGGACGAGCAGGGCAGGTGCGGCGAGCCCATCTGTGTAAGCACCCGGTCCAGCCACTGCAGCGGTCCGTTCAGGTGCAGCTCGATCCAGCAGGGCGTCGAGGTGACGATCTGCCGCCGGTACTCGGCGCCCCAGCCCTTGACGAAGCTGATCCGAATGGTACACATGCGCGTCAGGCTGTAGACGGCCTCGAAGCCCTGGTTCACCGACTGGGCCAGCATGGCGGCGAACTCGAGGTTGTTGAAGATCTTCAGGTTACACTCTGTCGGGGAGGAGAGCCGTCAGACATCGGTGGGGTCAGAGGGAAGAAGATCGTCGAATGTGGTAAAAGGTATTCCCTGACTACCTAACGGGATCGATACCAACCAGACCAACACTACCATCCGAAAGAGAAAAGGCTCAGATATCAAGGCAGGCGGGTAAGGAACATATTTTTGACTGTGGAGGCGACCGGCAGCGACACAGCCCAATAAAGGTTTTCAGTAGCGTGCATTCACAAATAATGATGATAAATTGTGGTCTACATAACGAACGAACTACGAAGCACTACATCTACAGTACTTGCACCCCATACCATACCCCTCCACCAAGTCCCGGGTCCACTGACTGGGCGGTATTTTGCAGACAGTGGCCGGGTGCCAGCCGAACCGGTGGTTACAGTTGGGTGACTGGACAAAGATGGCCGACTCGCTCAGACACTCGGCAAACACCTCACCGCCTGAAATGCAAAGGAACGGGATGGGTAATTACATTTCTTACTATACCCCTTCAACCGAAAGATTATTCGATTGAATCGATAAGCTATCCGCGCAGCCAGCGGCGCTGACCACCTGAACTCTTCGTGCATCTGCCTCTCGTCTATGCCCCCGCTACGACCTAGATTCTACTTTTTGGTTGATTTGTTTGATTCCGAGACTTCTCTTGCTCACCGATGTAGTAGAAGCGGACGCCGTGTCCGATGTTGCGCCGCGTCTGCTCCACCACCGGGTTGCGGTTGATGTTGCTCAGCAGGCCCAGGCAGAAGCGGTCCGAGCTGCTCGGGTCCGTGAAGCCGTCCACGGTCAGGCTCGGCTGGGAGGCGTGGAACGTCTCGCCGACGCGGCTCGACAGCTCGTAGTAGCTGACCGAACACCAGAAGGTGGGCTCGCAGTAGGTGACCGGCTGGGCGTCGGGCGCCACTACCGGCGGCGGCGGCGACGGCAGCACGCCTGCGGGGAGGGGGGAGGGGTCATGGTCACTGACTGTCGTTGCGGTTACCGTTGTTCCCAGCCCGTTTCCCCATCCAACGTATGCCCCTCTTGTTGCCCCTCTCGCTTTCCCCTCCACTGACTGTTGTTACAGTGTTCCTCTACCACTTCACCCAATGCTCCTCTCGCCACTGATTATTGCTTCGGTCACTGTTGTTACCCCTCTCCATCCCCCGCCCACTGATTGTCGTCGCAGTCCCCGCTGTTACATTTCCCCGTTGCCCGTCGACTCACTGTCGTTTCGGTCACTGTTGCCTCCCCCTTCACACACACACGCACACACACACCGGTCCCGTTCCACGTCCCGTCGACTCACTGTCGTTCCTGTCGCTGTTGTCGCCGTCCTCTGACATGAACGAGGCCGGCGGCGAGTCGGGCACCGAGGTGGCCGGCGACTCGGTGGGCGCCACCTGCTCCATCGGTGACGTCATCTGGGCGTTCTCCGGGGGCAGCAGCGACAGCTCGTCCACGGCCGGCGGCTGCGGCGGAAACTCGCTCGGGTCGCGCTTCGGCACCAGAACGGCGGGCAGCGCTGCCGGCGGGGAAGGAAGTGTCAGTGGAACCGACGTCAGAGGGGCAGAAAAGCGTAAGAGGGACGGGAATAGTCAGAGAGACGGACGCCAGAGGGGCAGCGATAGTGTCAGGGGGACAGGGAGATGTCAGAGGGGCAGAAAAGCGTAAGAGGGACGGGAATAGTCAGAGAGACGGACGCCAGAGGGGCAGCGATAGTGTCAGGGGGACAGGGAGATGTCAGCGGGGCAGAAAAGCGTAAGAGGGACGGGAATAGTCAGAGAGACGGACGCCAGAGGGGCAGGGAGATGTCAGAGGGACAGAGAGACGTCGTAGGGTCGAAAGCGTTTCCCTCACGCAACCAGCAGGCAGCACTGCAGAGAAAACAGCACACCAGTCGGAGAGACCAGAATATACGCTGGGTGCGCACAGCCAGGCGACTTTTTACTAGATTCTGGAGTTCAGTGTTCTGCCAGGTAATTAACAGCCACTTGACGAACATCTGTACTGATTGAAACGTTTGGGGCGCTCGTGAGTTCCAGACCGTAACCACCTATTTCACCATGCTCATCTAATTTTCTTACAAAGGGTCACTCACCGAGCGCCTGTGTCCGCAGGTAGTGGTACGGGTTGACGCAGACCTCGTCCTTTTTGGATGTGAAGGAGAACTGGCAGTGCTCGATGGGTTTCAGCTCGTGGTGCGACTGTAGGTCCGGGAAGCGCCACAGTCGGCAATAGATGACGTGAGGCAGGCCTTTCTTCTCAGAGACCTGTAGCCGGCCGTCTAGGGACCTGGAGACACGGCACAGGTCAGTAAGGAGCGCGGAATGCGCGCGTTCTGACCATATTAGATTAGGCAGGCAACATAACTATCATAGAACAGGGGTGCGGGACAGGAGGCTGTAAGGCAGTCCAGCCAGATGCATAGCGCACTATGACGTACTGACTATCCGGGTAATGACAATCGCCATTCGCCAGTATTACCTAGACAGTCGATTACGCAGTTCAGTAGCGTAGTCGGTACGCAACGCTCACGACAAAGGCTCCCCTAGACGACAGCAGCGGCAAGCTGACCTGACGTGATACCGTTCCGCATTACTCGCCAGTTGTGTCGTCGATAATTTAGTGGCGCAATGATAAACCCACTAAGCAAATACCTCTGCAACGCCGGACGACAGCACTAACCGTACCTTTGTAGCATCAATCCTACTTCTGCAGCGTCAGGTCTGCCTATCGACGGCATTTTTCGAACGGGACCACCGTAACACATACACGTAACACGGCGGCAGTTGTAACCGAGACTGGCCACCGCCTCACCTCGGTATGGTGATGCACTTGGTGGACGGATCCTGGCCAGAGATGGCCCGCTCCAGCTCCTCCACCGAGCCGGGACACTTCTTCAGGCGCTTGATCAGGCTCTTGACGGCCTTCTCGGACCACTTATCCTCGCCGTCACTCTTCTTCCAGTGCAGCAGTCTCTTAACGACGGGAGGCGTGAACGGGTTTATGGACATGATCCAGCCTCTGTTTGCTAAGACCAGGCATGAATAGCACTAGAGATCTGAAAAAGAGAAAACACTTTTCATAAAACGAATACAGTAAAACTTCAAAACCAGGGGAAGCATTGAAACACTAAGAAAGCCAACCTTAGATTAAAAATATGGGTTCAAGAATCAAAATCACTATAGACAGGTTGCTTTGCAAGAACAGTTCGAAATTGCATTAATATTTTCATTCAGCAGCGACATCCTTCACCGGTCAAACTGGGAATAGGATGTATCAATGATCAATGCCGCAGCATCTAAAGGAATGAGTAGGCGCACTTATTTGGGTACAGGTCGGATAATACCTGCAGGAGACGGCTGGCGAGCCGAAAAAATGTCATATAGTTTCAAATAATTACCACATACACCATCGCATGTCATATTTTAATAGATGACAGCATAATAATTTAATTGTATGGTCGTAATTCTTGTGCTGTGCTGCTCAGTGTCATAAACGGACCAGTATCTGAGCTCTTGGACGCAGTTGCGATGTGCGGCACAAGCGGGTTTCGATTTAATGACAATACCAGACACGGACTGGATACCTGACGCCTAGAGACCGAATCCGGCCTTTGATATACGGCACTGTGATTCCGGGTAATCAAAAGAAATTCGACACCAAGTTTAGTGCAACCATAGTAACTGGACAGGTAGGTACGCCCCGCTCACTGACTTCAAATGGCTGCGCGCGTCAAGACTCGCATATCCATCGACCGACGGATCGACTCAAGCCCATACTCCAGACTACAAAGCATGGCAATTTCGATGATATCTCGTCGATGTGAGCTTCGTTCTGTCGAACCCGTTGAGTCTCGGGCAGTTTTCTCCCTGCAGCTGCGGTGCCCTTTACGTGCGTACCTAGACGTATTTTAGCGGCGCCAGGTGATGACACACGAGTATAGGTACCAGCACCGCCCAAAATAACGCTACATTGGAGACAGGGCTGCGCAGTGCGCAGTCGATGTATTTTCGGTGACTCCGACTCTGGCTTTCAAAAACCTACTCCGACTCTGACTCCGACTGACTCCAACTCTGGCTCCGCTGAACTAGCAGGGCTGTGGGTATCGCTAAAGCTGACGTCACCGTCGCCGCTAACCGGTAAATGTGTAGATGAAGTTAGAGTAAAAAAACATCTAACCTGACCTAACCTTGCCTACTTAATCTATAACCTACCAACCTATACACCTACCAAACTACAACCTACAACCTAACAATCTACAACCTAACCTACCTACCTAACGCCGACGGTGACGCCAGCCTTACCGATACCGGGCTGTGGAGGCGACAGATTTTCGGCGACTCAGACTCTGTTTTTTTTTTTAATCGACTTCCAGCTCCAGTCAGAAGTGTACTGTTGACTCCGACCGACTCCGACTCTGGCTCTGGCTTTGACTCCACAGCCCTGTTGAAAGACTTCAATGCAGTCAGTCATCTACCAGTATTTTCATACAATTTTTGCCTATAAATAAATATGTGAAATTCCTACTTCTGTGGTGTAATATTCATCATTTTTCAGTCCAGCTGGTGCATTTTCAGTCCCTTTTGTTGGTGGTTTTCTGCACAGCTGGTGCAGCTCATGGACTCTCCTGTCAATACCCATTGGTTGCAGTCTTGCCCAGGTTCTACCCACCGGAATTCTGAAACTCTGCTGACTGAGCTACTAGATGAACAACTTTATTGCCCTGCCAGGCCATTCTGATGTGTCAACAACATCTGAAACTGAAAAAAACATGATAATTGATAATTGCAAATATTTTTACTGCTAAATTTCAAGTCAAGAACATGTGCAATTTAGTGTTTAGCCTGTTTCATATGTAGGTAGGATATTCAGCATTATTGAATATCAGGTCCAATTACAACAGCACACTCAACTGCAGCACACTGCACAATGCGCATCAAATATGTTAGATATGCTGATTTCATTTTTAATTATTGATCCTGCAAGATGATCTCACCTAAAAATGGAGTGTGGCTAGAGCTGTTTGACAAAGATAGGGGTACCTGTTTCTGTCAAGTGTCACCTTATGACAGACACAGAGGAAGCTGTTTGATGATGGGACTCTAAGGTTACCTAATTAAGGCTTAAGCTGTATTAGCTTTGATAAAGTTGGGTTAACTGTAGTTGGATTGGGTAATGGGTTAATTATCTTGTCTCAAACTCATCATCATCATTAGGTATTGTAAAAATTTGCATCACTGCCTATCTTGCTATGAGCAATTGTATGTAGCTCAAAACATCATGTCTTGACCAAAGTAACCCATCAGATCCAAGTGCGCACCTTTCTTGTCATGCGGCTACACACATCCAGACCTTATGACCCAAGTCCCAAACAATTATCTATTGAAGAAACAAATGTGAGTCTTTCACCATTGGTAGATTCTAAAAGAGCCACTTTGACTTTACAAGTTTTACACAGCCAGTGGCGTATCTAGGATTTCTCTCAGGGGGGGTCCGCAGTCAAAAGGGCCCTTGTAGCCTGAGTTGAAAGGGCGTTCAACCCGCGTCCCGTGGGGGGGGGGGGGGCGAAACGGCCCCCTGTCCTCTTCCGTAGCTATCTCCTAAATGACTGCAGATATCCCCACCAAACTTTCAGGACCTCTACGAGCATCCATTTTATACATTGTGACCAATTTTTTTCCAGAGGCTATGATAGGTTGGCCGCAAATGACGTCATGTTCTGCCATTTTCGACCCAAAAAAGGTTTCGCAGGAAGAGCTGTCAGCCCTACAGAGCTGTAGAAACATAAAAATGTTCCGAGATAAAAGGTGTACAATTAACAGGCCTAGGTCAAATCTGAGCACAAATTACAGAAAGAGTGTCAAAAGAGTTTTGTTTGTTTTGTTGGGCGGTCAGGTGGTCAAATGGTCTGGTCAGACCTTTCGGTCTGACCAGACCATTTCAGGGCCGGAAGGATGATAGGAATTGAGGGAGACATTGGTCTGGGCGGGCACCTTGGTGAGTCACCGGGGCTGAGCCTGTCCAACAGGACAGGCCGACCAGCCCCCCAAGTGCTCACTGCACCCGGTTACGAGTGTGCTTCCTTAGGAGCTGCAGTGCGCTCCAATGGGAGCCGCCCGCATGGTATAAAGTTGCCCGTCCAGGTCCAGCCTGGATCATGGGTTGCGGCATGAAGGAGAAGGATTTGAATGTCCTGAGGATGGAAACGGCGAAACGGGTGTTAACCCGCGCGGGGCCGGGGGGGGGGGGTGTTTGAACACCCCCCCGCGGTTTTTCGCAGATATCTCAAAAAACGGCACCGCGGAGCGCCGCCGTTTTTGGCACACCTGTTTGTGCATCTTTTCCGCACATGTTGTAAAAAATTTCAGACCCAGGTCGCCTTAGGTCAGGTCACCAGGTCACGCCAAGTGACCTCACCTCAGAAAAAATAAGAATGCTCGTCATAGCTACACCGATTGATCGATTGCCTTGAAACTTTCAGCGATTGATAAGAGCAACATTATCTATAAAATGTTCATCTCGGAATTTTGATATCGGTGACCTAAGGTCAGGTCAATATCGCGGCCTCTCCATTACCTATCAGTCAATGGGAGAAAATTGAAAAGCGTCTGTTTTGCACGAACGCTATTCTAGACACTCTCTAACATCGAGATGTAAGTAAAATTGGCACACTGAATCGGAAAATGGCAACTGTGACCCCTCGTTATGTCCCCGAGGTCATCTCAGGTCACGAACAGAATCTAACAGTTTTTCGCCAATAACTTCTGATAGAGGCGTGCTAGAGCACTGAAAACGCCTTAGATGTGTTCGACTCGACGTTGCGGATCGACTGATATGCAACATGACCTTTTCCGGTCAGGTCATGACCTTGACCTGAGGTCAAATTTTCAAGTTGACTTTTCAAGGTCCAATTATAGTTCATTCGACGCGTCTCGACGAGAGGAACACGATGCTGGCAAAATTAATGTCATGACTCTTTTGAGTCAAAAGTTATTGCCGAAAAAACGCTTTTCGTAAAAACGGCTATTTTTGGAGTTTTTGCCCTCTGGAGGCTAAACCGTTGACCTGAGGTCAAATCTGAGAACATTGCTCAGAAAGGTCTGTAAAAGGGCTATTGAATGCCCTTTTCTCTGGCGCTGTAGCTCTATCGGTTCCCGAGATAGTCGTTGGCGGTTTCCAAAATGTTGAAATAGTCAACATTTTACCTTTGGTGACCCCTGGTGACCTGACCTTTGACCTGACCCAAAAAATGACCTTAGTGTTTTCGTCCTTATTTTGGACGTTCTTTCGATTGCACTTTTTCGCGTGTCGCTACGTGGCCCAGGAGCCGAGTTAGAAGGGGGGTGTTCAGACACACCCCCCTTCCGGCCCGGCGCGGAATCTCAGAGCACCGGCCCGGCGCGGGTTAAAAGAGCTATTAACTACGCTTTTCCCCGGCACGGCATTCATTTCCGAGTGATGCGGTGGTTTGTTGAAAATTGTCGAAATTGGACCAGAAAATTGGCGAAATTTAGCCTTGGATGACCTATGTGAACTGACCTTTGACCTGATCTAAAAAGTGACCAGAGTAATTTCGTCATTATTGTTTGCGTCCTTTCGAACGCTGCCTTTGGCGTGCTGGTACGTGGCTCAGAAGCCGAGTTAGAAGCAGGGGTGTGGAGCCGGAGCTGGAGCCGGAGCCGCGGGAGCCGGCATAGTTTGCCCGGAGCCGGAGCCGGAGCCGGAGCCGTCCAAAAAGGCGGCGACTCCGGCTGCTTTTTTGAAGAGGAAAAAATTATTGACTTACATAGTTCGATTTGACAGTACAAGGCAGTAAAACATGTGGTATTCAAAATAGCCTTGTTATGCAAATACAGAAGCAACGTGAACCAATCCTTCATCTTTTCCATTCCACCCGTATTTAATTGTATAGAGGATGTACTGAGTATTGGAGCCGGAGCCGCCGGAGCCGGACCATTTTACTCGGAGCCTGAGCCGGAGCCGAATCCGATTTTTTCTCCAGAGCTGGAGCCGGAGACGTCTGAAATTTCCAAGGCTCCGCATCCCTGGTTAGAAGGA